AACACAGTTCCGGTCTCCTCTTCTCTTCGGTAGATACATGTCAAGATTTTTGCTTATAGCTTTTCAGACCAATTTTTGTTTAAAGTATCACATCTTTTAAAAAGATTTTGGGGGCCCTGTTCTCCTTGTAATAATGTCTACATGTCTGTTTCATATAAATGACAATAAAGTAAGTGTCTGTTTTTGTGGCGACTTAGAACTAGGCTGTTTAGATTACAAGTGATGTTTAATAACCCATGTCCATTTGGTCTGCTCAGAAATTCAGTGTGTTTTACAGTTTTAACTTTAGTGTGAAGCAAATTTCTTCCCTTGTCTAGTAAATTATGAACAATTCTTTACTTGTTGTAACCACTTTACTGAATTCAAACGGGTTTTAATATTGAAAGAAGAAAAAAAAAACCCAAGCTATTTAAAGGCTCTCTTTGGATGTGTTGTAGCTGCCACACAGCCCTTGAATCAATGTCACACAAAGGCCGTAGGTCATACTGGGCAGGGATGGGGATTTAAAGTCCAGACACCGCTTTTGATTCATACTTTCTACTGAAGTTGTGTGCTGGTCCTTTCTGCATCGTCCTTAGTTGGTTATTGTAGAAAGCTGTCCATCAAAAGGAAGGAAAGAAAGGTCGGTGGTTTAACATTGCTGTGATGACTGAGTAAAGCCTCGTGAGGGCTAGCCATCCAGATCACTACCATTTCGGTGATCCTTTGTGCAGAAGGTGTCCGGACCTGGGTGAGAGAGAAGCTAGAGGCAGATGGCAATGTCAGTAGAAGTGAAAATCTCAGGATTTTCACACAAGGCCTAGTGCTCAGTTTATTGCCATTTGTTCTCATAAAACACTCCTACGAAAGTTAAGTGTTAGCCAAGCTGTTAGAGTGTTTTCATTAGTTTCCCCCCCCCTTTCCCTCAGGAAACTAGAATGACAGAGCTACCTAATTGACAGAACTGTGTGTTACTATAAGTTTGTAAGTATTTCTCTTTAGACAGCAGAAATTAAGATCGTTCTTGAAGTGTCTGTCTTACAGTCATCAGTGTAGGTCATGGCATCCTG